GACTTTATATTGATTCTTCTCAGACTGTGCAACATTTTCCAACCCATACAGTTAAGTGGATTACTGCACGTAAAAATAGATTTGGTAAAGTTACCACGTGGCTGTGGGCATGCTGGGGGAGCTCCTGGGGGTGCTTGTCATGGCTTCCCTTTAACTCTTCAGCTGAATTAGAAATATGTGCCTCAGTGAAGCCCTCCCTTATACCAGGGTCTGCTTGTATAGTTAAAAAAATAAATTGAGAAACAGAGCAAGTGTTTCTGCCAGTGACCTCTGACTAGGGATTGAGTTGGTAGTTGGATTTGGATAAATTCATGGAGTTTTGTACCCCTTTTTTGAATGCCACATCATTGGGTTGTCAGTGGATTCTTAAATGAACTTAAGCACTGCTTGGGAAAAATGATTGTATTTTCTCTGCTTTCTGTCAGAAAGGCAGGGAGAATCTGACCCAGCATCTGTGGTGAGCAGGACTGATGGACTGAGCATCTGAGCAGCACCTTGGCAAAACCTGAGCAGGTGCTACTGCTGCCAGCCACACAGCTCAGGTCAGAAGATGTGGAAGGAAGCTGGGGTTACTGGATACTGGGCACCATTTACAGGTGAAATGGGAGGGAGCTGAGGCAGAAAAACATGTAAGTAGTCCAGAAATGAGAGTAGGATATTGTGGATGTGTGAGACAGAGAAGAGGGATTGAAGGCTTGGAGAGGGGTTCACAGATATGGAGGAAGTGTGAAGGGTAGCAAGGGCAGGAACTGTGAAATTGTGTCAGAGGGAGGCAGAAACCAGATTTCATTTGTTCTGTTACCCTTGGACAAACTCATTTAAACTTTGCCATCTGGTGCAAAGGTTGTTAAGTGACAAATTTTAACCCAAAAGAAGTAGGTTAGCAGTTTCTTACCCAGGTTCCTCTGAAGCTTCAGCACAGCTGAACCATCCAGTCTGGGTACCATTGCAGCAGTTCCAATGCTAACACCATTCCCTGACTTCTGTGGTTGTTTGCACCAGTTTCCCCCATTGCAGCTGCATTGATGCTGCATCCACATCACTCTGGGGTGAACATGTGCACACAGAGCAGGGCATGCCAAGAATTTAGAGGGTTTGGGCTATATTATAGGAAGAACTAGCAAACTCCAATAAGCAAATAACAAGTAAAAATAGCTAATAAAATAAATACCAGGTCTTATGACAACAAAAAGTCAAAGTTGCTTTAAAACAATTTCTTCTGGAGGGGAGAGTGTCTTCCTTACCCCTACAGGAAAATGCTTTCAGACACTGAAATTTGGGAGAAGGGTGCAAGAGGCAGCATTATCTGGCAAGTTGAGTTGCAGGAAAGGCTTTGATGCCTGTGCCCTCCCAAACTAATCCATGCCCAGCAAGGGCTCCTGCACCCTGGCACAGGGGGCGACCTTGAAGCCCTATAGCCCCACTCCCTGGCTACTACTGTACGTCTGAGGCCTCCATGTTGAGGGCTGGGGCACCTCAGATTTGGGTATTGTGGTTTTCAACATCACAGCACCCACAACTGGCCCCAGCCTTGCACACTGAAATGCTTTACAAGCTAAATATTTCATCAACTGCCTAGCCCATGCCTGGCTTTAGTCATTTCAAATGGATGCTCTGCATTTAAAAACACTGACTGCTTTGCCCCAGCCCAACATAATCAGCTGTCTTGCAAACTCCACAGCTAATGAAATATTAAATCTGTTCTGGCACCTAGAAATAAATATGGGCTCGAGATTCTCATCACATGCATCTCCCTCTCCTTAGCTCCCTGTCCCTGCCACATCACACTGAGGTGCTGCTGCTCAGTCCAAGGCTTGTTGTTGGGTGGTGGCACAGGAGATGAGCCGTGCACTAGACCAGACTGTTATCTATTGGGATGCAGTGAAGTGATCCAGTCAGGCACCAGCTGTGCTTGCAGCCTGTGGAATGTCTGCCCCACGGCACCAAGTTGCTTAGTGGGAGCTGCATTCATTTAAAAGCTGAAGATAAAAGTAGAACCTTGCATTAGAAACCAGGCTAGAATAATAAAGAGCACAGCAGGCATAAGCCTATACAAAGATATTTATAATTTAGTTACAAAATTCTTGTTTAAAAACAGGATGTAGTTTAAAAGTCACTGTTGTACTAATACCACTGTGTTAATGCAAGGTGACTGTGCCTTTCCAGTACTTCATCTTGTTTTAATTCTCAGGGCTAGGAGTTTATTTGTTTTTCTCCTCCAGCCACCTACAGATGAGCTAAAACAGTAATAAAACATTTGCACAAGATCTGCCCAGGTCAGCAGGTCCCAAGTCAAAACTCCTTGAATCAGAGAGCACAGTGTCACCAGCTTTAACAGGTTTTGGGTCGAGCTCCTCAGACCTGCCCCTGCAAACCCTAGCAGCACATGCTGAGTGCCCAAGGGGCTTAATCCTGCCTGGGGAACTTGCCACTTAAAAATCACACCTGGAGCTGAAGAGGACATGAGGTTGCCTGCCCTGGGAACTGCTGCTAAAGGTTGAGCTTTGGTCTCCTGTTGCACCCCAGCCCCAGAAACTCTGTCTTTGGTCTCTGAGGGAGCATTGTCCCATTGGAGCTGGCTGAAACGACACAGCACATGCAGTGTGTACAAACCCTGCACCCAGCACTTGGCAGCACAATGCTTTCTCCAGGCCCCAAGGCAGTCATTAGTAAAATATGTGGGGTTTTTAATTCACAGGTGGGCTGTTTGCAAGTAATGAGTGTAATATTGTGTGCTGTAGCAGCAGTCCTCTCATACAAGGAGCTGCTGGATTTTTTGGTGCTGTGTGCAGGGGTGGCTGCCTGCTCCCTGTCTCCCAGCTTTCCAGGCTAGGGAGGGTTTCCCAGCCACTGGAGGAGCAGTGGATGTTTTTCTTATTTTTGTGTACCTGTCCATCCCCTGGCTCTGCTGGCCCTGCACAGCCCCTCCAGCATGCAATGGATAATCTGTGACCAGCAGCTACAGTGGTTCTTCTCTTGATGAATGTTACCAGTGCAGTGTTTTCTTTGGCTTTGAAAGCACTGCAAGAAATTCCTTGGCAAGGCAATGACTGACTGGAAATGTGTTAGAAACCTACTTGACAGCTGGAGACCTGCTTGGCAATAATGACTGAGGTGCTGCAGTGTGCCCAGGAGCAGGCAACAGAGCTGGGTGAAGGGGCTAGAGAGTCAGTCATGTGAGGAGGGAGCTGGGGGTGCTCAGTCTGGACAAAAGCAGGCTCAGGGGAGACCTTGTTGCTCCCTAGAACTACCTGAAAGGAGGCTGTAGTGAGATGGCTTGGCCTCTTCTCCCAACTAGCAGCAACAGATCCAGAGGAAATGGCCTCAGGTTGTGCCAGGAGAGGTTTAGGTTAGATATTCGAAAAAATTCCTTCATCAAAGGGATGGCCAAGCATTGTAACAATCTGCCCAGGGCAGTGGTGGAGTCACCATCCCTGGAGGTACTGAAAAGCTGGGTAGGTGTGGCCCTAAGGGACATGTTTAGTGGTGTGGACTTGGCAATGCCGGGTTATCAGTTGGACTTGGTGACCTTGGAAGTCCTTTCCAATCTAAATGATTCTCTGATTCTATAAAACCTGCCTAAAGAGATGGGAAACTTAGCCAGAGCTCAGCACAGGCACTGAAAGTGAGTGCTGACTGCAGTGAGGGGCATGAGCACAGTGCCCATCCCTGCAGCACCCCTGGCCTTTAGCCTGTTGCTGTAGAACAAGCCAGGGCCAGCATGAGCCTTGTCCCAGGCCTGTCACCACCAGGGCCAGGAGACTCCTGTGCGTCCTGGGGTGCTGTTTGCCAGCCCCAGCCAGGCGAGAGCTCTGTGACAGCCTCCCAGAGGGGATGCCCAGGCATGCTCCTGTGTATTGTACAGTAGTTTGGGTGTCAAGAACTCCCCAAAAGCAGGAATGCTTTACCCAGGGTATCTGTTTGCAGCCTCTCTTACAGAATAGTTTTCAGTTTTAGCATAGCTTTTTTTTTTTTTTATTGAAAATGCTATTTTAGTTTGCTCAGCTTTCATTCTGATAGCTTTCTTTTGGAATGGGGTGTTTCCTAAAAAGCTTTGGTATAATTAATACTTCTCTATGGTTGTACATGATTTGATGCTGCCTGACAGGATAAAATCAGAGAAGCATCACCCAGGCCTCTCCCCCAGTCTTTTCCACTGTTTTCTTTGCTTTAACGCTCACCAGTCCTTGTGTGCTCAATGTGTTCTGGCACCTCAGTGCTGTTCCAGGGCTGAGTGGAGCACGCAATGGTGATGGCCCTAAGCTTTTATATGGCAACTCCATTCTTTGAACATCTTTTCCACATTTTACAGAATCACAGAATTGTTAGGGTTGTTGGAAGGGGCCTCTGGAGAGCATCCAACAGGGTCACCTGGAGCAGGAGGCACAGGAACACACCCAGGTGGGTTTGGAATGTGTCTAGAAAAGGTGACCTCACCAGGAAACTGTTCCAGTGCTCTGCCACCCTCAGTGTAAAGAAGTTCTTCCTCATGTTGAGGTGGAACTTGTGTTTTAGTTTGTGGCTACTGCTCCTCATCCTGTCACTGGGCACCACTGAAAAAAGCTTGGCACAATCCTCTTGGCAGCTGCCTTTGAGATATTTATATGCATTAATGAGATCCCCTCTCTGTCTCTTCTTCTCTGGACTAAACAGGTCCAGCTCTCAGAGTCTCTCCTTGTGACTGCTCCAGATCCCTCATCATCTTTGTGACCCCTGCTGGACCCTCTCCGGTAGCTCCCCGTGTTTTGTGCCGAGGAGCCCACACCTGGACACAGCACTCCAGATGTGCCTCACTAGGGCCGAGTAGAGGGGGAGGAGGATTTAAAGGAGAAGCCAATGAGAGGCGGCTTTCCTGCCTGGGTGATTTTTTCCCCTTCTTCCCTTATTTTAAATGGCAGGGCCGGTGCCGGCAGCGCGGCCGTCCCCGGGCGGGGCAGGAGCGCCGGGGGCGCTCGGGGGATGCGGGGCGGGCGCAGGGGCCGGGGGGGACAGGTCGGGGCCCCCGGCGCTACCTGTGCGAGCGCCGCGGGGCCGGGCGGGGGCCGGGAGGCGCTCCCAGCATGGACTTTGACGGTGGGTTTGCGTCTTTGCCGTTCAGGAGCCTGGAGGAGGCGGCGGCGTCGGTGGGACGAGGGCCGGATCCCGCGGGCACCGCCGGAGGAAGGGGCAGCCCGGCGGCCGGGCACCGTGCGCGGCGGGGCCACGCTTCCAGCATGCTGCTCGCACGGACACCGCCCCGCCGCGCCGGTATGTGCCCGGCTCCATCCCCCGAGCCGCGCCGGGGCCGGGAGGGAGCGGGGATGCGCGGCCGCACCCGCGGGGCGAGCCCGGCCGTGGGCAGCGCTGGCCTTCAGCTGCCTTGGGCTCGTGTCGTGCCGGAGAGCAGGGAGAGAGAGAGAGCCGTGCTCTGAGGTGGGGTTTGTCAGGACAGGCGGCGGGGCTGCTTCACTCCTCCCGTCATCTCGCAGCGAGCTTGCCGGCCACGGACTCCTCCGAACTGAGCGAAGCGGAGGTGCCGCTCCCGCTGGGCGCCCTGAGGAAAGGCGGTGCTGCGGACAGCATGGGAGCGATGCGGAGTGGGAAGGTGAACGGCGTGGCTGGCTCTCTCCAAGCGCTGTTCCTGCTCTGGGGAAGACGTGAGGCTACTGTATTTGCCGGCCGAGGTGATGTGAGGGTCTGTCAGCCCCTGCTTTGCCATGAGTACCTTTCCAGGCTTCCACACTGACCCTTATACAGAGCAGGTTACCTTCATCTGGCATGTTATAAAATACAGATTTAATAATGCGATACCCATCATGGCAAAAATTCTTAAACATTTAGAAATATATTATGCTTTCTCATAGTTCAGTAAGTAGCAGCCCAAATTAGGTTTCTAAATATAGTAATTTTAAAAAAGGAGAAAATGCGGGGATTTATCCTGTAGCCTTAACAAAGTGGCATTTTTAACCTTCAAGTACATACAAATTAGTTTTTCTTCTGAACATCACGTTCTGCTGAGAACGTTCTTGCTTTAAAATCACCTTGGTTTGTACAAGTTGCCCAAGGGGTTGGGCAGAGCCTCAGGACGCTGGTGTCCCTGGGGACAAGGTGTTTCCGTGGGCAGGGTCCTGGGGGACAGAGGGCTGGCAGCGGTGCCAGGCTGCGCGGGCACGGCTGCCTCGCCTGGCTGCCGGCCTTCCCGCTTCCCAGGCGCGAAGGCGGCAACTGCTGGAAGCAGGAGCTGGCACCTTAGGAGTGATGGAATTCAAGGAAACAAACACCGGGGGAGAGCCGTGAGACAGAATGGTTTTTAAGGCTGACATTTTGTTGCAATTCAGGGCAGCTTTTGTACAGTTGGAGCGTCTGGTTGTTAACTCCTGGCTTTGTCCTCTTACTCCTCGGTTTGTGCGAATCAGTAGTAACATAGTTGTGATTTTAAAACGTGGGGCTGTGTTTTCCTGTGTCTTCCTGTGTGAGATGTGGAAAAATGGATTTCCTGGTGCATTCCTAATTCCCATTTCCCTTTTTATAATTGGCTTCTGGAGATTAAAGAACAGAATGGGGTTGTGTGCTGCTTTTATTGTGCTCTTCTGTGGGTCATCTTGGGCAGATCTTGACTGTCTCCTTCCTTCTGACTTTCATTTGTGTTAATCCAGTGGAGCCTTCAGCTTCCTGAGGGTGTCACAAAGGCAGGCAGTGTCCCTCATTCATACCTTATGCTCTGCAGCTCCATATGTTTGTAGTTGAATCTTGTGACAGCCACTACAATAAAACCCGACCCTGTCAGCCTGAGACACCGATCCGCTGCTTTAGCTGCTGCTGCTCCTCAGTTCCTGCTGGCAGGATCCCCAGGCTGGGCAGCAGCCAGCAAGAGCTGCAGGAGGGGCTTTTCTTGCTCGTAAAGATTTGTGCATCCCTTTTCATTGTCTGCAGCTCTGGCTCTGCCAGGCACCTGTGGAGGACAGGAACGCACCTTTACAAACCAGGCTAGGTCCTGAGCCTTGGTCTGAGAGTTAGTAGCTTAATGTTTCAATGTGATCCTGAAGGGGACTGTTAGTAGGAAGGCTGTGACTCCATAATTGAGTTGTTGGGTTGGATATTTTACGGTATATGTAGGAAAATTCCCATTTCCACTCTAGTTTGTTGCAGTGTTGGAGCGCTGCGATAAACCAAGAGGCTGATTTGTCTGGGCCCAGTGCTGTGCCTTAGAGCAGTCTAAGCTCAGTGTAGGACTTGGCCAGTGTCTCTGACACCTTTGGTGGTGTGCCTTGTGTTTTCCCCTGCTATGGGGATGGTCTTCAGACTGTGGATTTGCAGCTAGTACAGATGGGAGGGAGTGATAATTACAAGAGCTGTGGGCTTTGCTGAAAGAAGTGTTGGATCTGCATCCTTTGGTGTGATGCAGGGCAAGGAAACAGCTGTACATATAGGTCAAAAACTTTATATCCATTTCTGGTGTTTTGTTTCTGTTCACTCACCAGTTATGGGCATTATTTTGTATTTGGAGTCTTTGAGAATTCTGGATCTCCTCTATCACTATTAGCTGTCCCTTCCAAAGGCATTCCTCTATAGTTTCTATAGTTGGGTTCCTTAAATCTTGGCTAAACTTCCTGCAGATGGAGTTTCTGAGAAGCCCTGAATCTTCTTCATGCCCTTTCTTCTCCAGTCTCACTCCAAGGCCTTAATTGCTAAGGAAATGCATTGGTTCATTATTACCCACCTAGAAAACAGGCTTCCATCAATGGTAGGTAAGTTAATGTTCCCTCTTGTCCATGGTCTGGCAGTCTGTACTGGTGCATGCATGTGTTCTGAGACATTGGGGAAAAACCGTCAATAATTGTAAACATTTCTGTCCCAATTCGGACTAACAGCAGTCTGTACAGCTGTTTGGACAAGCAGCTGAGGTAAAATATGAGCAGAACCTGTAAGAGGTTTTTAGCATCCTGTTCTCCAATGGCCTTTGGGCTGCCTCCTGAGCTGTGTGTGCAGCTCTGGTGAATAAACTGCTGCACTGGAGGGAGGATTTCAGGACAGGCCAACTGGGTACAGTTTTACTTTCATGAAATTAGACAGCTACCAAGCACACAGTGTTCTTTGCTTTTAACAAGACTTCTTCTTCCTGAATGAAGAATAACACTGGCTGCTGAGGGCTGTACCTACTGGCATTGCTGTTCTCTGAACTACTCATGGATATTTTCATGGATATCCACTACTCTTGGATATTTTCATCCAAAGGTTTCTTTTGGTATTTTATTTTCATTTGCTGCTTCCCAAAGCTTGGGTAAGATTGCTAGAATAGTGGAGAAAACACTTTTTTTTCTTCTTGGCTTCTGTGGTTGTGTGTCTTGGGGAGTTTCTTGATTTTATGGGGGCTTTTGCCTTTTTTTTAATTTTTATTTTAAGTCAGTACTAGTTTTAGATTTCCAGACTTTGTCAGCATAAAAACTCACATTGACACAGCTGTACTATTTAGCAGCAAAAACACCCCACTTGCACTGCATGTAAATCATAAAGTGAAGTAAGAAGAAACATTTTCTTCTCTCGTGTTTTTCTTCTAGTTTGAAGATTTTCATGTTTCTTAACTGCATTGCTAAAGTGCTTGAGAGATGAAATTTGACATGGAAATTGCCTCCATTAAGTAACTCAGTGCTCTGACAAAGGAGGTTGTAGGCAGGTGGGGCTCAGTCTCTTCTCTCAGGTAACAAGCAGTAGATCCAGAGGAAATTACCTCAAGTTGTGCCAGGAGAGATTTAGGTTGAATATTAGCAAAGGTTCTTCACTGAAAGGGTGGTCAGATTGGAACAGGCTGCCCAGGATGTGGAGATGTGGCCCTTACGGACACGTTTTAGCTGTGGACGTGGCAGTGCTGGGATAATGGTAGGACTTGATCTGAAAGGCCTTTTCCAACCAAACCAAATTTATGATTCTGTGATCAGCTGTGCTCTTATTGAAAAACCTGTTAAAGTAAACTAGAGGCCTGCCTGATTTGGAAAAGCAAATATATAATTCCCTCATTCATTTAGAAACTGGCTTAGAAGCCTGGAAAAGCTTTGTCAGTTCTGGCCATGGAGGGGAAAAACCCAAGCCTTTGAAATTCCAGGACGTTCCTTGAGACAGATAACCAGGAGACTTTCCCTTCCATGCTAATCCTGCACAGCAGTTGTTTGCAGTTGCTGCATCCAGCCTTTTCCAATCTGTAGCTCTTATCTCTTGTTGGCACTAAGCGACAGGAGAGCGAGGGGATGGCTCTGAGAGGAATGAGAGCTCCAGTTTTGCTTTTCATGTCTTGAGCTGTTTTGGGATATTTGGATATCAGTGACTGCCTGAAGCAGCAGAATCTTTGGTATTGTGCTTGTCTTAAAGTAACCGTAGCTGTTTAAAACTTCCTTTTCCTATGATTAGGACGAGTTGTTCTAATAAATGTTATAGTGCATCTCCTGTGTAGGATTTGCAGGAAGCTGGATGTTAAGGAGAGGCAGGACTGAAAACCTGGTGGGTTGGACTGCTCTGAGAGCCCCTGCCTGGGGCTGCTTTGCACAGGGAGCTCTGAGTCCTGCAGCCATGGAGGGGATGCTGTGCACGGAGTGAGTGATTCATCCCTCTGCCAGTTATGTGCTGCTGCTCTGCTCGCAGCCGCACAGGATCCAAAGGGCAGTGCCACGAGTGCTCCTGAGTTACAGCCCTCCTTGTTGGGGAGAGAGGGTGTTCTGGGTTTCCTCTCTGTTATCACATGGAGGCTGTGAATATTTGAAGTGATTGGGTGCAGTTCAGAGGTGTGGATGCCTGAGTGCTGTTTGGTTACCTCTGCTGGTAGGTCACCTGCCCAAGCTCCAGCTTTGAATACCTTTGTTCCAGAGTTTATTGTTTCCATGATAATGGCAGCACTGGGATTGTCTGACTGTTCTCCCTGTGTCCTTGTGTGATCCAGGTCCAGGTCTCCATAGAAGCTTTGAGAGGTAGAAGGGAAAACGGGAGAGAACTTTTGAGGTTAGGCAACAGATAGGGCACAATACCCTTCCGATATCCTTGCTGAAATCCTCCTGACCTGGACTTGCTGTGGGAGGAGGTTGGCATCCTAAAGATGACCAGGAGCCACTTGCCCAAGCAGTGGCCCCACTCTGAGCCTGGCATTAGGTGCTGTGTATAAGTTGTTGCAGCCTGTCATTCAGTCTAATTTATTAAGTGCTGTATCATCCTTTTACCTTTTTCAAAGTCAAGTTCTGTGTGGGAGAAAAGGCAGGCAGGCTTGTGCAGGGCCAGCACCACAGACTGATCACCTCTGAATATTGTGCACCTCTGACATCCTGGAGAGTGCTAAGCTCTGTTCCTGGGTTCCCTTTGCAGAGTTCCAGACGTGAAGCTGTCTGTGCTCTCCTGGGGACAAGGGGACAACCTGTTAGAAGCAGACGTGGTTCTGGTAAGTGGCACTCTGAACTTCTCCTGCAGATACCCAGGGGAAAACTGAAAACCTCCCTGCTGGAGGAGGAGTCACAGTTGAACCAAAAAGTTTGGCTCTGTCACAGCAGGAATTACTTGCTGCCTTCAGCTGGGCAAAGCTGCACATTTTGAAGCTGTTTTGAAAACTTTGACTTATTTTTAATCCAGTGACTGCTGTGATATAAAGTGTTGCCGAAAGCAGTTTCTTATAGTGTAATATTGAACTTCAAGGTTTTTTCCTGAGGTTCTCATGGATGGAAAACATTTCAATAGTAGCAGGAACTTACCTGCTTATAATGGCTACAGATGTTGCATAACAGCAAAATGCTTGCTTTTCTGCCTGTTTTCATCATATGATGGTGTATTGTAGAGGCCAGTGAAACCCTTCATTTTTGATATTGCACATTTATTTTTTGCAATTATTTTTATTTATTATTTTAATGCTGTTAAAAAATCTTTTTTTTTTAAATGGCAGTTATGTAATTAATGCGTTTTTCCTCTATTTTATGTTGTCTAATAGTGAATTGCAGGCATCCTTTCACCATTTTTTGTTTCCTTCAGTAGTTAGAAATGAACTTATCTTGGCAGGAAACACTTTGCCAGGCTGGCAAAGAGACTGCTTAGTCCTCAAGTGCCCGCTGAGTTCAGCTACCACCCCCTCAATATTTTCTCTGTCCTAGTGTTGCCACAGTAAATAAAGTATTAGGTGAAAAAACATCTGAACTTATCCTTGGGAGCTTCCAATTCCAATATGGAATTGATTGTTTTCAAGACTTCCATTAAAGTCATCCACAGTGTTGTGCTGAAGTTAAATGAAGCATTTAAAAACATCTTGACTGTGCATGCAGTAAAATTGAGCACAACTAGCAGCCTATATTTTTCAGATGAATAAATCAGCATTTCACCTACTGTAAAATCTGTCTCTAAAAGGAGAAGATGAGTTCTGGTTTCTGATGATGCTGCTTTAGCTCCTGGTTGGGAGTGAGCAGAGCAAGCAGAGCACGCTGACCTCTGGCTCCAGCTAAGCCCAGCGGCTTTGTCACGTGAGGAGCTGCAGAGCTCTTGGCCTGAGCCCCAAACCATCTATGCAGTGATGTCTGAGGCACAACTGGCCTCAGAGCAGAGCTTGGGCACTGACAGAACAGGCTCCTGTCACACAGTTTTGCCTTGTGCAGTTACAGGATGCTGCATCGTGCTGGGAGTAAAATGAGCTGGTTTAATTTGTTGGGGTTTTTTCCCCTCTCAGGGTATGTGCGAGGAAAGGTAGAGATGTTAAAATCTGTCACAACTTAACACTCTGTAGATGAGTTAGGCAGAGAGGATTTAAACAGCACTTCACCATGTGTGTGCAGGCAAGGGCTGTCAGCAAAACAAGGAGGCAGCCAGAAGGTTGAGGGCAGCTTCATTTGCAATTATTTCTGTGCCAACAATTATTAACTCCAGTAGACCGGGCAAACTGTAACACTCACTGCAGTGGCTTGGAAAGTACTGAGCTCTGTGAAGAATGAAATGAGCAACAGGCAGGAATTCAAACTAGGGTCCATAACTTGGCCTTGAAGCTCAACTGATTTGGAACAGTTGAATTGTATTGTGTGCCTTGCTGTCTGCAAGCTTTAGAGCTGCCCTGTCCTCTGTGTAGGACAGTCTCAGGAACGTTTGACTTGGCCCAGATGAAGAGGCAGAGGTGGGGAGTTCTGCAGAGGAAGATGCTGACCTTTGGGAATTTCTCCCTACCTGCTTTAAGAAGGAAAATCCTCCCTCTACTGACATTCCATCCTTTCCATTAGACACTAACTCATATGCTGGTATCCCCTAACAGAAATCTCCAGCTGCACAAGGGAAACATTAAAGGGAAACAGGATAAAATCCTAACTGAAGCTAGCTTCTATTTAACAGACCTCCATTAAAAAGCTTAAAAAAAAAAAAAAAAAAGGACCACTATAGCTCCAGACTTGGATAAAAAAATCCAAATCTGAAGAGACTATTTTAAGGAAAGTGTCAGGGATAAACTCTGATAAAAATACACTGCAGCTGTGTATTACCTTGGCTGGATGAAACTGCAGCTTTCAGGCATCAGCAGTGCTGGGTGGTACCTGCTGTTTGTGACTCTTTACCATGTACTTGGATCTACATATTTATCCAGAAGAGCAAGTGGAAGTGATTAGTATTAATGTTTTATTGATGGTAAATATTGAAATTAGACATGCACAAGATATTACTATTAAAGCTTTGAATTATTCAGCTGCCTGAATTGCTTTCAGGCCTCTCCTTGGCCTCTGATCTGGAGGCACGTTAAGTTTACATGTGGATAGACATGGGTATGAACCTCCATAGGGATAAATGTAGTTTTTTGTGCAGTGAAGGGAACCCTGCTGTTTACTCATCTCATGACAAGTTATCCATCCAGTCTTTACTCATTTAATGATAAGTTATTGGAATAAAAATCTGATAGCTTGGCTGTCCTCTGTGCTGGGTAAAACTGCAAGTAGAGGTCAGCCCTTGGCAGCAGGGTTTGTGTTACAGGCCTGTGGACTGCAGTGCCTGTCCCGAAGCCCTGGGCACGTGCTGCACAGGTCAGTGTGCACAAAGAGAGTCACTGAACATCGGTGACATGGGCTACAAACATTCCTCTACAATGCTGAAATGTCCTGCTACAAAGCTAAAGGTGTGACAGTTTGTGTGGACTTAGTGGTTTCTGGAGCCATTTAGGACAGACTTCCTGCCAGGAGCACTAGCCACTCCTGTTCTGCACTTCAGCCCTACCAACAGCTAGCAATGGTTTTTATGAAGCAGCAGAGAGAGGAGGGGAACGTGTCCCAGGAATCTGGTTCTCCTGAGTCAGCTACTAGACCGGGGAAGTCCCATCCTACCTGTGAAGCACCATTTGCCTGCAAATGGGATTGATTTCCTCTGCAAATACTTGCCTGTGATCAGGTTACTGGATTGGAGCCCCTATTTCCTCCAGTGTATTAAAGAAATAAGTAAGGCTTAACATCTTTGCCATGATTGTGTTTTCAAAGGCTACTTACAAAACATCTTTAACTTTGGCTGACCTTAGTACAGCGTCATTGGGTGAAGCTGTAGGGAACAGTTGGTTTCTGTGCTGCGCAGTCTTTATTTTGGCTGGCAGTCTGTTAACTCTGATAAGTGGGTAAGCGCATGCCAAGCAAAGTCAGGCATATCGTGAGATTCTGCTTTGCCTGAGAGAAAGTAGCCCCAGAAACAGCTTTGTAGGCCAGTAAACAAAAACCCATATTTGGAGTTGACCAATTCTGGATCTTAAGGACTTGAAAAGGACTCTGCCAGGTGTTTCATTGGTCACTTTCCTTCTCTACATGTAGAGTCGTCCTGCTCTAGTGAGAATGGTGCTCTGTTGGAACTGCCTTGATCACAGCAGGCTGCTGCTGCTTTCCCTACCCGCTCCAGGGAAAAAACAAAACCAGCTCTTGTTCCTTGTGAATACCTTCTGGTGGCTGCCCTGCTCCAGCCTCCTTCAGCAACAGCAGAATGACACTGGGAATTAGTGTCATTGTGCCCAGAGGGTGTGTGACAGCCATGACACTGGACTCTAGCTATGGTGGTTGTGTGGTGCTGCTGGGGGGTGGTTTTGGTGTTTATTTCCAGCAGCAGCAGTCCCTGGAGCTAAACAGTATTTGTTTGCAGTTTCAGGAGAAGCGTAACGCATTGTCAGCTTGGAAGAAACAGAATTTTCTTTTCAATAAGACTTTTACATTCCTAGATGGCCTACATCCCATACTGGGACTTGCATTCAAAGGCAGCGTGAATTCAGGTCAAACTTTGCCTACTTGTAGTAGATGGATGTTACCGATAAAAACATTTTACGCACGCTGGGCAGAGATTTACTTAAGCCGCTTCTACAAGCGCCTGTAGTGAATTTACGTTTCCTTTGAGCTCACTGAGAATGGTAACGTATTTATTGCCTTTATATGAAACACTCTTTTGACAGATTTCCTCGGAAGAAGCACAAAAGGAGATGTTCTGTTCTTTGAAAATAACTGGAGCCACTGGCAAGAAGCAGCGACACTGCATCGAACGAGGGAACCGCTTCCAGCTGATCAAAACATGCTGCTGAACTGACTTTTGCAGCTGCATTTTCCAATGTACCATGGGATGCATCAAATCCAAGGTTGCCTTCCAAGGTTCCAACGCTGTCCAGGATGAGAGGATCGGGGGAGGCGGCGAGGGGTGCACTGGGGAGAAGTCGTCGCTGCTGGCGGTGCAGGCGGAGGACAGGGGCCCCTCGAGCACCATCGTGCTGGACTACGCGCACCGGCTGTCGCGCGAGATCCTGGAGCAGGCGGTCAAGCAGTGGGCGGTGACCGAGAGCAAGTACAGCGACATCCCCTTCATCGAGAGCGACGTGCCCTGAGCCCTCCTGCCAGCGCAGAGCCTCGCCGTGGGGAGGTGTCTGCAGGGAGAGCCTGAGAAAGTCTGCCTTTTAGTGCAGATTGCTAACAAACTAACTGGATCGCAGTAGAACCTGTTCGTCAAGTGTCATGCGTTGTCAGCCATGTGTTGAGTCTACTCTGTCTTTGTACGTGCTGGATGTGAGCAGAAATCAGCGTTAAAAGGAGGATGAGAAGACTGTGGCAGCCCTGCACCTCTACAAGCACTGCCACAGAGGACAAAAGGTGCATTATTTCTGTGTTCTGCATAAAAGATCAGAGGTCTGTCTGTAGGTGAGATGAACTCTGTGCTTGGTGAATTTGTCTGCATTTCGCTGAAGTGAAATCAAGGTCTGCATGTAGCAAAGGTTACTGCTGTCATAAATTTTACTTTTGATTCTGTGACCTAACTAAATCTGTAAAATCACAAAATGAAGGTGATGGGAGGCACTTTGTAAACCCCGGTAGTATTCAGGGAGCCATTTGGATGATGATGCTCTTCACCTTCCATTGAAGTGAACCAGTGAGAAACGTGCCAGTGTCGATAAGCAGTGCATTATCATTAACAGATGCTTCTGTAAATGCATGAGAGCTTGTCTCTAAAACCCTGCAGTAAGATAGGTTAATGACATCTGGTTGCTGTGTTCAGACCGAAGCTCTTTGTTTTTCTGGTTTTGTTTGGGGTTTTTTTGTGTTAGGGTGCTGGTTTGAGAGGATTTGGTTTTGTTGTTTTACTGTAACCCAGAGAGATGTGCAAAAACTACTGATGAACTAGTGAAAGGAACCTTCAAAGGTGTGGCAGTGCTTCAGGACAGTTTGTTTCATGGGAGCTGTGGCTGCATTACACTGAAATTCCTCTCTGAAGTACCACTCTTGGGACAGGACATCTTCTTTCAGCTTCTGTAGGCTGCTGGAAAAACTTTTCCCCACTGGAAAAGCTGTTCATGGCAATGCCAGCAGGAGCCACAGGAGCCCAATCCCTGAGCAGTGCCCTGAATGCAGAGTTAGGGACTAAGCCTTAGGCCCAAAGCTCAAGGGCTGCATTTCTGCCCCAGTGCATCCACACGCTGCTCCCTGCTTGCCCAGGATCCACGGCCTGACCCACTGCACTCACAGCTCCTGTTTGACAGATCAGAACACCCATGGATTGTTTTCATTCATCCCAAAGGTACAATGTTGCTGATGTTTTATACGAAGTGAAGCCTTCTAACAGCTTGGCTTTTACCACCTGTTTGTTTCTTTCTCTGTGACGCCCAGTTTAAAAGACAAAGTTCTTTTTCCTAGATCAGAATGCTTTCCATTTTGTTTTCATTTTATAGAGAAATGCTTTCCATACTGGCTAAAGCTGTTACTATTTTTAAAAGGTACACATAGTTCTAGTAAATGATCCAAAGCATGATTTTTCAAGCAATGGGAAGCAAGCAGAAAGAGGACCATGTCAAATGCTGTAGACAGTCTATGAATTGAGCTGTTTTCCAAATGCTGTGACACAAACTTAGGTATTTGAAATTTACCTATATGGGGAAGGGGTTTTATCTGGAATGAAGGGTGGAAAATGCTTCTCTGTGACACAGCACAAGGCTGCCATTAAATCCCAGTGACCAGACTGGATTCCCAGTGACTTGCTATTAGGGCTGTTCTCAGGCTTTTGCTGGAAAAGGGAACAAAATCAGCTTATGCTGTAATATCGTCCTCTTTGAAGTTACACAGCTGTCTTCAAAGCCATTTGCAAAGTGGGACTAAGGTTTTATGGTTCACTTAAATTCTCCTCCTAACAGTGATGTTCCTTCCAGTTCTACAGCATATAGAACATTTGATCATACTCTGTTTGCTCTAAAATACCTCCATGTATTAGTATGAGTTAGAAAGCAAAGCCAAAACACTGATCAAGTCAGTACATATCAAATGGATATTGCTTAAGCACAGTATTAAAAAATATTCATATTCTTATTTTAGCTAAAATAAAGCTTTATTACAAAAAAGAAAAAAAAGGGCCAACCTTTCTAACATGAGTGTGGGCTTGAGGATGTGAACACTGCTAACGACAGTAATGAAAAATAAAAAGCCAAAGCTCCACAGCCATTGTTGGCCAGGCAGGTGAGGAGCAGGCAGAAAACTGCACTCACTGTCAGAGCACCTTGAGGTGCTTCTGCCCTGGCCCTTGTACAAGGCTCCCTGGAGGCTGCCATGGGCAGTGAGGTGCTGCAGTGCTTCCTGTTGCCACGTCTCAAATCCTTCCTCTGGATGTAGCCTTAGCACCTGACACTCTTCAGGAATATCGGATGCCCTTTTGAAAGTAGCTCCCTGCTGGCAGGCTGCCTGCAGCAGGCAGAGCTATAGCACAGCCTGAGGTTCCACCCCAGCATCCCTTGTGATCAGCACTGGCATTTCCCCAGAGGAGGGGTCACCCAGGCACCCCAAACGTGCCCCAAGGACTGCTCCCCTGTGGCTGCCCTGCCTGCCCCACAGCTGCCCACGGGCTGACAGCACCAGCTGCTTGCTGGCCCGACCGGTCCCTCACCTGCAGCCGCCAGCCTCGGCCCTCGCCGGTGCCTGAAGATTACAGCAGCTCCAGAGTGGCCCCAAGTGCAATTCCAGCTCCTTTAGGATGTTTTCCATGACACTGGCACTTCAGGGAAGGCACGCAGCAAATGGAAAGCAAACAACAGGGAGACGGCTTCTCACCAGGAAAATCATCTCTTTTACAGGATGCTGTCCTTATAAATAATGCACTTACCCTTAATAGAAAATAAATCTGTTCAGTGCTACAGTCTGGTAAGAGATGGACGGAGATCTCTCTCCAGAGCTCTGCTGTACATTAACAGGCACAACACTAATACATTGTAAAAATCAAGACTTCTTCACCTAAATAAATTTATGCTAAGCTGTGCTAGAGTTTTACAGAACCACTGACAGTGGGTTTCCAGCTAAGTTACCACTGATTCTTTGACTTCATTTTGTGTAATAAAGGCACTCCAGTTTGGGACTGGCATACTCTGCGAAACTGTTTACTTCTATTTAGGAGTTAAAAATACATTTGCTTTATATTTTCTCCAGGAAACAAGATTAATCTGAGTGGGTATGATGTGACTGACTTGATATTCTAATAATGGTTCAAAATACATTAACTGCAGCACAACTTGTAAAGTTGACGTTTCTTGACTAAGGCACATCAGTATTCCCAAATAAAACACACTACAATATATTTTTACAATATTTTTTGTGGAAAATATTTTCTTGTGGACCAAATAAAATTCAACTTACCATCTGCTTGTATGCCTTTTATTTGAAAAAAACCACAAGATTGCAAAGACTGGACAGGATCTTGTTACCTTGAGCTTGAGATAATTCCTGTTCACATAAATTCTGGAAGCAACTGAACATGTGAGTCAAAGTTTATTAATTCAAAAGTATGTTCTTCCTAAGATCTTGTACAATCACAGGAGCCATGATCCCTACTCCCTGGGAATTACTGTGTTTTTCATTTAATAGAGTTGGCTAAAGACTGCTCCTTTTATACAAAAATAATGGAATTAGTAAGATAACTCATCTTCAAAAAATAAAATTTAAGATACCAATTGTTTATGGATGTAAAACATATAAAAATTTTAAATAATACAAGGGGAAGTTTGCACTTCTTATGGGACTAGTTTGAGCTAGAAAGTCACGTGACACTTTCAGAATTACCCTAGAGGTTTTCATGAAATCTCAATTACTTTTGGAACTAAACTCAAGGACAGTCCCATAACAAGTATGTCCATGGTAACATAAACTCACAGCTGAAATTTTAACAATTTTATCTTACAAGACTCTAGTGCCAAAGCAAGGTGCCATTTTTTCTTGATTTAGCTCTCCATTTGCTCACCTCTGATTTTTTGAAAGTCACTCTTGGTAGTTCACTTTGATGCCTGAATTTCCTGGACTTTGTTTCCAGGCAACAGCTCCTAGAAAGGAAGGAGCCTTAAGCCACTGCAGACCATTGCTGTTGGTCATAAAAACTGCCCAGCGTTGAAAATTCCACAATGGTTCTGCTGCAGCTCTGAGTTTTTGATTCCCCAAAAAGTCAGGTGGTGCTGGTTACTGACTATGGCATTTGAGCAGAAGTTTTCTTCCTTTGGTCTTCAGAGAAGCCAAAATTTGTACTTGTGACCTGCCTGTAAGCGTAGAAGTAAGCAGATAGAAACACTGCTACGTGATCTGGTGAAGCATAAAAAAGAAGGCGTAATGTTGAAGAAAGATTAGTAGCTGTCTGTTGCATATACAATAGAAAAAATAATTTCCCTCCCACAAATACTTGTATCAAGGGGTTCTGGTTATGCTGTGTAACTTCATGTATCACCAGATCAGAACCCTGCCACCTTGAATGCACTGGGAATTGCTGCTTGGTGTTCACAGCGAGGTTTGAGGCACTTGTTTCTTCGCTGCTGTAAGACCAAGAAAAACCAGCAATTTTCTGAAATTGTGAAATACTGATTATGCAGTTGAATCAGACATAATGACATTTTAAAAAGTGGGCTATGCAAGCAAAGAGAAGTGTGCTTCAGGCTCTGGCAAGATTATCACATTTGAAACAATGTTTACATCACACAGAAGGCTGAAAAATGACAAATGTTTAATCAATAGAACAATTTCTTGTTCTCAGACTAATAATGTATCAGTCTGAACTTTTATTTAAAAGGGTATTTAACACCATGGATTCTGTCTTGCATTTTCCTTTGTAGCTCTGACTGCGTTAAAGGTTAACCATATTTTATTTTTATTGTACACAGAAGAATCTGTGGCACAAATCTCAATTTACCAGATCAGTGACAAAGCCAAGAGCACAAAAGGTCTCTTGACTTTTTCTTATTAGGTCACCCCTTAAACTGTGCTCTTTTCCCCAAGGGCTCCTCCTAAACTAAAAGTTGATGCAAAAATTAAATGTTAATCACTGTGTAAGTAGTAAAAATAACAATTTGCCTTGAAGTGACTTTTCCCATTATTAAACAGAGATACAATTATTTTCTCATTACAGAGAATGTTCCTGAATGCAAAAAAAAAAAAAAGAAAAAATAGACTTGTGAATCTCAGGCTAGTTAAAAAAGTCTTGTCCAAATTGATCACACTGCAGTTAATTTTTGTATCACAGAACTAAGCAGACAGATAAGATGTCAGTAGGTTTGATCTTTACAGCTTGAGATCGTCATTTCCCAGTGGTTTAAAACAACTGTCCACAAATTCATCGCTGACTTCTTCTAGAGCAGCAGGCTTCCATTTGGGGGACTGGTCTTTGTCAATCAGCACTGCCAGGTGAACAGAGAAACACCAAAGTTACTCATAAACTTCCTCCAATTAAAATGACTTAAGACTGCAGCAAGACAGACCACTACAGTGATTCCATGGGGGAACCAAATCTGTGTGCTCTGGAGAAGGCAGAGTTTCTGTAACACAGATGTTCCTACTCTATTTGAAGTTCCTGAGTTGTGACCTGCCCAGAGGTGTCTCTGGGAGTTGCTGGATGATACAAGGAATAGTGAATCACTTCAGAGCAGCCCAAGATTTGAAGGAACAGACCTGAAATGGGTGGTTTAGTCAGACCTGACACTCTTGGCTGCCTTACACTTCATGGGAGCCTGCGAATGGCACTTTATAGTGCTGCTTTTGGACAAGGCTTTCACACCTCTGTGCAAAATCTGACTCTTGGGAGAGTACAGGAGATGACTCAGTGGTGCTAAGTGCCTAAAGCTAATTTAAACACATCACATTAATAATGAAATAACTCACGAGGAGAGAGTAAAGCAGGGTATCTTTGTGGGAAGTGAGGGTGTATATTTGTAAATACTGACAGCTACTGAGGCCTGGGTAGATTTAACTGTGACAATCTCTATAACCTTAGTACACAGACTTCATGCTGCATCCTGGGAAATACATCACTGAAGATAAAAACCATCACTGAATGAATCATATGTAAAAGGCTAACAAGAAAATGGCAATTCCCAAAGAACATTCCCTGTATCACAGGAATGTTGAAGGCATGTCAGCAATGGCAACAATAAAACAAGAGGGAGTTAATTTGTGTGTAAAACTGACCAGTACAAATAGAATTCCAGAGCATCCTTCCAAGCACCCTGCAGGCTTTAAGAAACCTATAAAGGTGCTACTGAAAATGTGAGATTTTTATCATTTAAAGAAGAACAGCTGTAAGAACTGTGGCTCTCTAGGCTGCACTGATTGCCAACAACCCTCACAACCCTCATTCCCTTCAGAGGAGTGAGATCAGCACCTGATTTGGAAATGCACCTGTGGCCTGGGGGAACCTCATGACCAACACAGCCCACAGCAGATAAGAGAGGACAGGCAGGAAGAGAAAATTTCTCTCCTGAGAATGGTTTTTATTTGTTTGTTTTCTGACAAAGCATTTAGAGGAGGATAGTTCTAAAGGCAGGTGAACTATAACACACAGAGACCAGATATTTCCAAGAATAACAGCTATTTTTGGGTAAGTTGTCACATTTTTACAAACTAAGTTTGTTCTTATTGAGTGAACTACAAATATCCAAGATGAGGAATGTGTAAGGGGGTGGAATGTTATGTTCAGTTAAAAGAATACCTACCTAGAGACTGTGCTTACCAAAGAAACCAGGAATTATGGTCTGCCTTCCAACTTCTAAAAAAAAAATGTGACCTGAAAACTTCTCTATCACTTTTCTGTCTTTAACCAATGGTTGAGAATGGCTAGAAAATACACACCATTCAAATGACAACTGCACTAATTAGTATTTCTGTAGCTGAAGGCATACAGACATCACAATGCTTTAGCTTACATCCCCACAGAGAAAGGCAAATAGAGCCCCACACCTGTTTACTGGTAAATAGGGAACTAAGGACTCCTTAGAAACAAATTAATTGTAAAAGGTAACCCATTATAAGGGAAACTGCAATTCCACTGAAAACAGAATCCATGAGGACAATTGTTTAAAAGAAAAGTCCTGTGAAAGAGTGCTTTTACTATGTTGTTCAACTGGGTAACTTACTGAAAAGCTGTGATCTTGCAGGGTATTTCTGAACACAGTGAAACCACTCATTGGCTTGGGTTAAAAGATGTAATTATCCTAAATCAACTACATTTATTCCATTGGAATAGTAGTTATCTACAGATTTTCTTCAATTTTAGTTGAGGTTCACAGTCTGTTATCCACAAAAGTCAACATTGACTAGAGGTGGTTTAAATGAAGAGGAAAATGTGTCCATGTGTATGTTACTAGAGCTTCTCCTCTGCCATGCTGTAGTAAGTGCTGCCAGTTCTCCACTCCAGGGTACTGCTGTCTATTCAAGTTCATCTTTCTGTTTGGATCTGTGGCCAGTTCTACCTTGGAGGATAAACTCAATGCTCATAATGGTCTCCCCACTGGAGTCTTTAATCTTGTATGAGTCAAAATATTTCTTTTCTAATAGTATCATGAAAATAGTCCCTTTCTGCATTGACTTCTTTACATTCTGTATCTCTCCAGCTTGAGATCAATCATGAAGAAAACAGAAATTCTGAAGACTTCTAAGGTAGGCTAAGGGAAATTCATTATGATAAAAGTAACTGAGCACAGATATCATGTTAAAGGTTTGTTCTTGCATTTCACCTTTTTTAATCAAAATCCCAAAGCTCTTCTGTTCAGTAGCAGTGACTTTACCAAATTTCAGTTAGTGCTCTGTTGCTGATCTTCCTCCAGCACAGTCAAAACTCTGGTATTTCCAAGCCCCTGACATTCTGTTTGCTGCCATAAAATCTCTCAGCTCGTGCAGGGCCCTGGGGTGCCCAGGGTACAGCTCACATCTGCCAGCCCTGCAGGGGAGGTGGCAGAAGCTGCACACAAATACCATCTCTGCAGCATCAGCAAGATGTAGAAGACCTTTACAATTCCATTTCAAGTGCACATTCCTGCACAAAGAGTTAGGAGGGTGAATTAACAGATATTTGCCCCTGAGATTTGCTGCCGAGATTGTATCCTACCTGATGTGTCTGAGCACTGACTCCAAAGATGAACACTTTTCTTAAGCAGTAAGATTTGAAAAACAATTCCTGGCAACTACCCAGACCTATGCATTTTTTAGTTGACATATTATTCTATTAATCAAGGTGAAAAATTGATACCTAATGTGTTCCAAGTCCACATTTACCATTTTATAGGAAAATACTGATGAAATATGATCCATGTGTTTTATGCTTTAAGATGTTTGGCTTTTCTTTAATCGTTCCAATCACAAGAATCATAAACAGAGAAGACTGCCACAGCAGATTTTCAGGTTGAAAGAAAACTGGCTAAAAAAAAAAAAAGGAAGAAATTTTGACCTCAGGTCAAAGCAGGTTTAAAAAGCTTTAAAACTACTCCCTAGAAAGCCTTTTAAAATTATGGCTTGAAGGAGATGAAAGGTATTAGTAAAACCTGACCTGTGGCCATTGGCTGCCGAGAAACATTCTTAAACTAAAATCTGATTGTTGTAACTCAACTTCTTTTGATGGTAGATCTTTTTGTGGTAAGAGGGTCAAGAGCTGGCTCTTAAATGCTTGTAATGTAAGGCTTTAAGAAAGAGAAAGCTAATATGTAACACTTTTATCAGTTTTATTCACAATGGTTGGTCCTGTGAAGTACTTAATAATCTCCCTTCCTGTTAAAAAGGATGCTCAGCACGTTGATGGATAATGATTTTTATGAAATTAGACTAAATTACAAAAGTCATCTTGAGTCAGATTCTATACTCCTCTGCAACAAGAGAAACAATGCTAAGACTGAAAATCTGAGAACAAGATCTA